GTATATATATAGCCTAACAATAATGTATGATGAAAATTCAGATGACAAATCATTTTCATGGAAGAAATCAAAAGTCAACAATCTCCACAATCCTATGCTGATAATTATCATGTGTTCACTAGTGACTAGCTTCAAGATGGATTTCCTGGAGTCCTAGTGAGAAGCCGTGACCAGTGGAGTTCAACCGTGTCTGATGTGAGGCAGTTATTCACTGAAGACAATGAATGAAAGGTTGTACAAGATCATGGACTGGTTAAAGTTAACACCGTTGGATGTCGACTTAGTGGTCTAGAAGTTAAGAGTTAGCAAGTAAGGCTAAAGGTAATGGGTTCGAGTCTAAGGTGTGGGAATGTGGGTGCGCACTGTTGAAGAGTTCCACACTAAGACGAAACGGCCGTCCAGGGCTTTCAGGTTTTCAATGCTGGTCTAACATTGATCCATTTATGATCTCAATCGAAATCAAGAAGGACAATAAAAACACATTATTATGAGAAATAGTACAACAGTAGGAAAGCTATCCAACTATTTCTCAACGTTTCGTTCATTTTTTTAATTCAGAAGTTCCAGCAATATGATATGCTATAAACTCACACTAATTTTAATAAATGATTGAGGGCTGACTAAAATAGAGGAAAAGAGATAGACAAATAGTAAGTACATAATGAATTAGTAAGTTGAATCAAAATGAGATGAATGAATAAATAACTACTATCATATTATTACATAACTCGACTTCATGGATAATGGTAATAGCAATCGGTTAGTAGCTAACTGAACTCATAATCTTTGCATGTAACGCGTTGGTGTTTGGAACAATTAGTACTGTGTTCGAATCGTAATGGGAACATTAACACTAGGATATAAGTACGTGGAGCTGATGAGTACTGATAGATATTCATCGATCAATTTGCATTGTAGTCAATCAACAAGATACCCATATACTATATATGGCATATACAATTGTTAGTGGGTTGAAGATAACCATCAGGATTAAACACGTATCACATTGATTTAACATTTAGTAATCAATCAACTTAAAAATTTCAGTTTTATATCAAGTGGTTTATTGTTTAGTGTTTGATTTTTGAATACTTTTAAATCATTTCAATATTGGTATCTGCCATACACTTTAAATCACACTATTTACCTATTAAGCTATTAAAAAACTGAAATTTTAAACGATTGCAAAATCTCCATCCAATGTCGTAATCTTAACTGTAAGAAATTGCAAAATGTAGAAAGAAATGTATGATTTCCAAAGAAAGAAATAAAGAAAGAAGCTGACGATAAACAAATCATTGAAAGATGATTGATGGATAAACTTGATTAAACAGATCAGAAAACGGTCCAAATGTAAAATCTTTCATTCAAGTTAGAAAGTAAAGTTAGAGAACCAGTGAAGATTTGGGCGGACGTTTCACGCCTGTGTGTGAATTCTGGGTAACCCATGGAGTCCAAGTGTGTTGAGAGTGCAAAAGACGCCTACAAAATATAATAAGAAACGATCATACACTATCGCGGATTGGTTAATAAAAGGCTTGTACATCACTAGATCCTGACTCAATGATTTAAATGTTAAAAAATCGTGTGAAAGAACGAAGGTGCTAGAATCGATTCCAGGGTGCAAGATTGCGGATGCACAATATAGACGAGTCCTGTAACAGGATGCAACAGCACACAGTGCTTCCAAGTTTTCACTGTTTATCTAATTTAAATCGGTTAGTAAACTCAACCATCTCCACAAACCCATAATGATAATTATAAAATATTTGCAGATGAATGATATTGAGCATGGACAGGCTTTTTCCCGTTTAAATAAGTCCTGGAAATAAAAGCTGTGAGATAATTGACACTCGTCGACAAGGTGCATCTCCAAGCTACAAGGAACTGATGCTAAGAATGAGGTATGAATATTGTCTTACTCAGTGTTACAGCAATTGTACTACTTTTGTACTTGATAAATTTAGTAATACTGTCTACGATTTTAAGCTGGACAATGGTTTTTTCACCTTATAGAAGTAATTGCACAAAAAGCATGTGATTTCACATGTCTTTGGGAGCACGCTTGATTCATTACATGAACCTTCAATGTACTTTTAAAAAATAAATAACACGTGATAGTGTACTGATGCCATGACCAATCCAACATGTTTTACTTAGCAATACGATTGTATTTAGCTGACCTCAGCCGATTTATGATGTCTTATTTCACATGTCGTCTTACCACGTTTCAGCAACTAGGCGGTAGAATACAGAATATCATACGATAATGTGGCTTTTCTTCATATATGATTTATTTTAATGAATTAACTGAACGAGAAATTTGATGTGAGCTAGGACTGGAACTAGTCAAATAACTGCCATTATACTTGAAATTCGCCAAGAGAATGAGAGGAATACTAACGAGGTCACAATCGTATTGCTAAGTAAAACATGTTGGATTGGTCATGGCATCAGTACACTATCACGTGTTATTTATTTTTTAAAAGTACATTGAAGGTTCATGTAATGAATCAAGCGTGCTCCCAAAGACATGTGAAATCACATGCTTTTTGTGCAATTACTTCTATAAGGTGAAAAAACCATTGTCCAGCTTAAAATCGTGGACAGTATTACTAAATTTATCAAGTACAAAAGTAGTACAATTGCTGTAACACTGAGTAAGACAATATTCATACCTCATTCTTAGCATCAGTTCCTTGTAGCTTGGAGATGCACCTTGTCGACGAGTGTCAATTATCTCACAGCTTTTATTTCCAGGACTTATTTAAACGGGAAAAAGCCTGTCCATGCTCAATATCATTCATCTGCAAATATTTTATAATTATCATTATGGGTTTGTGGAGATGGTTGAGTTTACTAACCGATTTAAATTAGATAAACAGTGAAAACTTGGAAGCACTGTGTGCTGTTGCATCCTGTTACAGGACTCGTCTATATTGTGCATCCGCAATCTTGCACCCTGGAATCGATTCTAGCACCTTCGTTCTCTCACACGAATGTTCAACTCTTGTGTAATTGAATGCTACAATTCGGTTCATGACATATTGCCTTATTCTCTATGATTACATTGCAGAAATAAAATATCTTATCTTTCTCCCTATTCACTAAATGCTTGAAGATAATTATAATTTAAGAGCGAGTAGTATGCGATTAGATATTTTATTGAATCCATCTTTCCAGCGTATAATCCAAGTGAATTTATAATTGTGCTTGTTTATCGACAAATTTCATCATGCATTTAAGTAATATTAAAAATAATAGTATGAGTTGTAGTTCTAGTAGATGCAATTCTCAAAGCAGTAAAAATATAGTTAGAAGGAGTTTCATGGTACAACATATCGAAAGAATGTCGTTATCCTTAGTTACTGACAAACTGGAAGTGGTTTGTTTTCTTAAAGTATTTGTCATTAGTGGATTAACAAGTACTACACATGAATACAATTTTTTTTATTGAGATTATGAACCGATTGATGTTAGACCATCATTGAAAACCTGGAAGCACTGGACGGCCGTAGGACTCCCACAACAGGGCGAAACGGCCACCCAGTGCTTCCAGGTTTTCAATGGTGGTCTAACATCAATCGATTCATGATCTTAACCAAAAATATAAACTCCACAACCCCATACTGATAATATAACTTTTGTTTATTCTTTTGGTTTGTTATGGACACAAAACCTTATCTGATTCTAATATCTTATATTCTTATCTTTTGACTTCATTAAAAGCAGTATAAAATATCCTTGACAAGTTGATCTAGTAATTGTTATAATTAAATGTGAAACTTCACAACTGAAAGATGAATCCACTCTACATTAATACCAATCACCTAACTTTAAATTCATACAAAGCTTTTAATGCGAACTATTGTTTTTCTGATACAGCAAATTTAAAGAGTTTTCAAAACGAACTTCTGAAGTCATATCGATTGTATAAAATAGATTTCACAACCACACTCACGTTTTCATTATCTTAAAGAGTTGTCAGGATTTTAATGATGAACTGAGTGATGATTCGAACACCGTAACTAATTCCTGTCAGTATAAACTAATAAGATGAAACTCACGGAGATTATATCCTGCGAATCCATGAATCGGTACTTATCTAAGAGCGTTACATTTACAAATTGTATAAGTCATGTTTATTACTATACACATTTCACTGTCATTTTACAATATATTGTATTGTATTATTTTGAACGAGAGGCAATTCTTACTCTGAACTCGATAAGCTTTGTTAAATAGTCATCTGATTTATATATATCATAGAATCGGGTTTATATTTCTCGAATTCACCTTAATCATAGTATGATTGACATTTCAACAAATCAAAGATAATTGACGACCCGGTCTGTTAAATACATTAATCAGTAGTCTTATCAATTTCTGTCTTATATTTTCATGCAATCATATTAAATCAAAAAGACTTATGGAACACTTGTTAGGGGTAAATGTTTCATTTGATGGGATATTGATAAACGTTCATAAAGAAAGCTGAATATGTATGCTTTTTATGGTGTATATTGGATAAATTTTTCTTATAAATCTAATTTATTGTTAAAATGAACATTCATAAGGAATTAAGAAGTAATAAATGAGGAGCCTGATTGAAATTAAAGCTGAATTATTAATTACACAAACATACATAATCATTTGTTGTATATATTCATGCATTATGGTGAATGAGTGAGAGAGTGAATAGGTAGGTAGAAAAGCATACAAATATGCCTGTATAGATGTTATGATCAAATTAGAAAAAAGCAAAGAAGATAAAAAACAGAAAGCCATATCTTTTGGTCTACTTTTGTTTCACATAAAACTTCATTAGATTAGAATTCATGGAATTATGAAAACTGCAAAAATTGGTTAATTTACCGAGTTAATAAGAAAACCTTATCTCTCAAGATTCAACATAGAAAGAAAGAATATGGAAAAAAATTCTCCAGAAAAAAAAGACATTTCTTTTTTTTTCAAGGACAATGTCTAATTTCATGTTTCTTTTACTTGGAAGGACCAGCCAAAACTTTCTTGATTAATTCTGTAGGCAAAAGAAAAAAGAAAAATCGATCAGTTCTGTAAGGGAATATTTTAGTTATTAGTCAACAGAGTATATTTCATATATATATTCTTAAAATACAACTTGTAAAATGATGAAACTTGAGGTTTATAATTCATTTCTTAGATGGAACATTCAATGTCATTTACATTTAACAAATAATAAATCAGTGTGAACAACTTTCCACTGATTCACTATCATCTCTTAACAAATGATAGTTAGTGATGAAAAAGAAAATAGTGCTTGTTTCGTAGAAATAGAATTCTTGTAACTATATTAAACATTTATAAACTACGATACCATAATATAGCAAAAGTAAGAATGAAAACTTGTGGAAACTGCTAGAAGTATGTACTATAACACTAAACATCTGGTCAATGAATATCAGGAAGTAAATCGATTGTAAAGCATTTTCTAAATAACTCGAAGATTGTATGCATGATCCTTGTATAGATAGATGGTAATCTGCATTAATAAGAAAGTTAATATTCTCAGTAATAGCTTGCTGTCCCTTAATCATGCTATCAATGACTTATGTTATTGATGAAAGTTATAGACAGCCATGACAGATCTAATTTTCGAAAAATACAATCGCTTGATTTTGTGTAACTCAAACGTTAAACTTAGTAATTACGTCGTTTAAAATCAAATTCTCATACGCCAATTTTTAGCATGATTCCTGTAACACAAACTTTGATAGAACTGTATATGAGTAACTCGAAATAGGACATTTTAAAAATGAGTATCTTATAAATGAATCTTGAAACCAAATATACCAAAGGGACAATTTATACTTTATAATCCAAGTTTTTTGGAAGTGTACTCAAAATAAACCATACCAATGAATACAGTTTCAAACACTGACCTTCATATTTGATATTTCCGTCCAAATCTTCACGTAAATCAATAAATTTCAAAATGGCATCCACTTCTGGATCTTCAAGACGTTCACCTGTAATTAAACAAATGCAATAAATATATATATCTATAATATTAAACTAACCATAACCTGTTAAAACATGTCTCATTTCAGCAGCTGAAATAAATCCTTGTCCTTCACGATCGAATGTTTTAAAAGCTTCCATATAATCAGCATAGGTGCCAGTTTCTTTCTCTTTAAGAATAGCTTCATAACAAGGAAGAAACTCATCGAATTTGTATTGCTTTTCCCCTGTAATAAAGAATACGAAAACATAACTGTATGTTACGTATTGTTAATTACCAAACATGTTTTACTAATAATAATCAAAACATAAGAACAAAATCAAATAGAACATTGTTGAATATTTAGACTTCAAAACTATTCCGATTATTTTAGTTTGTAAGTTATAAATACATATTTACAAGTGTACCGTCAGAGTGCTGCGTGTAATAACAATAAGGATGAATAAACAAACCAAGATAAAGTTAACATTAAAATTACTTTTCCAAGTCAGCATTTATTGAGAGTCTCTGCAAAATGAGAAGCCATAAGTCTAACTCATTAGCATCATACAATTCGATATTTGTCTCAAAAATTAAAGAACAATATTTGGATTTATTATTTATCAAGTAACCATGAATAGTTTGTATTCCACTCTAGTACTGAGTAACGTTAATTAAATAAAAATTAGGATAGAAATTCTTTAACAGATATTTACTCACAAAATAATACCTTAAGCTGATAAAATGATTGAAACCACTTGTATTGTTGAACAGGGTTGATCACTTTGGTTAGCAGTCTAATTTGAAAACGGTAGCTTTTCTGTGTCATGCTATAATTAAGTATTTTATTATGAAACACTGAAACTAACTCAAATGAGTAAAATTAACATGAATCCCGCATGAAGGACCGTAAGTGCGTATTGATGAGGAGTCCCATGCTAAGACTAAGCGGACGTTTAGTGCTTCCAGGTTTTCAGTGTTGGTCTTAAGTAGATTGGTTGATGATTTAAATAAAACTCAACAATCCCCACAACCCAATACTGAAAAACAATACATATTTTGAATTTCCGTCTTGCTCATTAATTTGCTTATGCAATAATCAATAATAGTTTGATTTAAGTAGCATGTTTCACCTTATTTCATTTGAAATGTAATTCTTCTATAGAAGTAGTAAAATAGAAAACACACTATTATTCCATCTTTTTTACTCATTTAGATTTGCTAACTACGGCATACAAAGTCACATTATATAGAATATTTCTAAGAGTAAAGGTTAGTTCAATTTAGCCTAATAGGAAACCAAGTATTCCAAATTGTGACAATCAATAAATACGTAAACAATAAACAAGCATTTGAGCACTAACCACACCTGTTTATCGTATAATAAAAGGCAATATTAACTGACTGCTTACAGCTGATTGTGTGAGATGTACTTCAAAACTGAATCCCAATACATTTAAAAGATAAAGACCATAATCACAAATCTATAACACAACTCACTGAATTGTCTTACAGGATTAGAGAACATTATAAAGATATTGGTCATATCACTGAATTTTATGTTTTATAATTCATAAGCAGGAAAAACATGAAGGTAATTTGAAATAAATGAACACATCAACTCGGCACTCAAATACTGTGAAATTATTCGATCGAATTTAGACGAAAGTTGTTATTTATTATTTTATAGTAGACAAGTTTATAAATATGTGAAATTCAGCAGTATTCAATGTTTCTCATCTTAGAATCAGTCATAATTGGTAGTAATGAGTAAAATGTTATTCGAACAATGCATTGTATGCAAAGATATAACCTATTTTAACAGGAATATTCCCTTATTTTATATAGTCCTTTGTTTATTTTTCATCATCAGCCATCAACAATATTCGTTTTAGGTTGTAGCGTATTCATTTCAAACTTACTTTACTATTTATTTGTAAACAAGATAAGCAGAAAAAGTACTTTTAACTCATATTTTTGAATAGAAATATATATTCCACCTTCTTGATATTTTTAGAATATCTTTTTTATTTGAGATGTCTGGTTCATCAGGTTACTGTATAGTTAAAATACTATGCTGGTTTATGATTACCAAAATGTTGTTACTATTGCAAAGGTATTATTTCTCTGATAAAAAGCATCTGACTATAGGCGTTGAGACTTCAGTGACACACGAATTATGCCTCGAGTTACAAACAGATGGGCGGTTTCACGTGTCAATATTTGAATTACCAAGTCTATGGAATGATTTATTATAATACCCATTGACTAAATACTAAACTAATATTCAATGAATTCGTTGATAAACAAAACATTAAATAAAAGCGATCACTTGATATTTAAATTGTAGTATGAGATGTATTCATATAGGAACAAACAGAATACTCTCTTCTCAACTTGTACTTTACACTTCAGGAGATTAAGATATTTAAATGATGTATATGCCTTTACGAGGTTATTAGATAGGATATTTGTACCACTTTCCTTCATTGAGAATACTCAAGTTTGACTAGGACATAAAACAAGAGATGTGGGGGTATCATATGATAAGTACACTTAAGCATGAGTAAGAATTTATAAATAAAACTTTTATAGTATGGTAACATTAAGAAAGCACATTAGCTCACTTCTATGTGAAGTAGGCTGTGCTGCTGTCCAGATCTACTATGAAACCTTAGTAATTAAACTATCTAGTTCAGAAAACACAACACATTTAATATTTTTCGGAAAATTGTGTAACGCACAACTAGTCTAGAGTTTTATAAATCAATTTTTCATTGAGAAACCAATCATTATGTAGTGCCAAAGTTATATTTAATACTAAAACCTGTATATTATAATTGTATATCACGTGTATAAGTTAAGTCATACTTTTCCAGTTTGCTAGATAAAATAAACATTTATAAAATGTCCGCAACATAAATAAGTAAAATTCATAAGATAAAAATTGTGCCTAACCTTGTTTTATAGTGGCTCCATGTTTTACTGTTAATGCAATAGTCGGATTTATTCCACTACATCGAAGTAGATCACCAACTTTCACTGCATCAATCATGCCATCTCGACCATCCCAAAAATCGAATAAGTCGAAAACTTCTCGAATATCTATAGGTTTTGTTTAAAGTAACATAAAGATGAACTCAATTAACAACACTATCATTATTAACAATCTTCAGAGGTTACGGCTATAGTTGAAAAAGTATATATATGATCAATTATGTATTATAGTGAAGCGATCAAAATTTATGATTTCTTACTTACCTTCGATTTCAGCTTTGGATAATGAGCTCTAAAACAGATAAAATTACAGAATGAACAGAATTATATTGACTAACAATGTGTTAATAGTTTATTTCTTTTTTAAATAATTAAATATAAAGTTGTAGAATATGTATGATACAACTTACCATGATTGTTTAAGTAAGAAACTGGAATACAGTAAAGAACACTTAAATGAACTGTGAAATCAACTAACTGAAAACTGAATATATGTGTGAAAAATAGAAAATATGTCTTTCAATTAATTGATTGATCGATTTTATTCGAATTCCTACACTGATAACATTAGTTCACTGAAGAATAGTGTAACTGGAGTAATATTTGGATTGGTTAATTAGTATTTTTGCGTCCCTATGTATTTATTAAGGGATAAAATATGGATGAAAGTGTACTACTTTTACATTTTGGAATATTCTTCCCCAATTGTAAAAGTTAACCAATCGTGTACAAGGTGATAATGATAGTTTTAGGTAATTGTACCGATTTCTAAATCGATATTCCATTTTTGACTATCCAATCACAGATAAACCAAATAAGTTATGGTAAATTGCTGTGCCAAAATTCACTGATTTTACTTTTAGGTAAAATTTTAGAAATACATAAACAGAAAACTACTAAATTGGGAATATTTTCTATCATTATACGTATACACTACAACATACAGGCATCAATCCCTTTTATGAACATTTTTGACTAAGATATAATACAATCTTTCGCTTATGATCACTTAATTGTGGTTATAACCCACTGATTGATATGTATCAACCGTGGCAAAAACATTTCATGTACTGATAAGACATATCTGACTATTCACCAGCTTATTTAAATATCTTCGTTAAGCTCCAGCTAACTGTATTTGCCATCAGTTCACTAATCTCCCACTGGGTAGTACCAAAAGTTGAGTTACGATGTACCTACTAGTTTAAGTGACTTCATATCCTGTCTACTCTATCGTTCTGTAAGCTGGTGGTTAGAAGCGACCGGTAGAATATCTCAAAACTTGGTTTTGTGCTAGCTGCCACTCCTCAAAGCAGCATTATTTTTAAATGTTAGAAAACCAATAGTTATAGGATATTCAAATCCGTAGTACTTAGTGCCATAATTGGAGCCGTTACCACTAAGCTATTCGAGTTCCAAGATAAGTGGAATAAATAATAAATTCCACTAGATCCAAATCTCTCCTTCATAGCAACCAGGTGCAATAATGCTACACAGCTGGTCGATATCAATAATTGTTAATCTACCTTTAACTTAAATAGTTTGTGCAAATTTTATTAACGCTTTCTTGGTTGACCGTCAAAATACTACCACTTTAGAAAAGTTATTTGATAAACAATTAATTTCTTCAACTATTTACAATTGAAATTCACTTGATATTGTTTACTTGTATTTTCCCATCGTTATTTAGGACTGCAATTGGTCAGTCTCTTATTAGCCTATGTGCATCCTGTGCGGGCTGCCTCGATATTGTCTTAATTCACAAGCTTTATAAACAAAGATGGATAGTCGCTAACAGTAGAATCCAGGATGCGCGTTTCTTCCTACTTGGGACACGTCAGATGGATGTTCACGCATCTGAGTCGATGTTCACTCTGGGATACGAACCCAGTACCGTTAGCTTCAAATGCCATCGTGTTATTCACTTAGCTACTAAGTCTTGATAGTCACCTACTTGTGCAGTGATGTCAGTCATGACAACGAAATATTTAAACAAAAATAATTCACTGTTACCAATGTTGATTACTAAATATATAAAATCTATAAAATTATAAAACGTCGGAAATATATTTTGTCAGATGATTCAAACAAATTGATTTTGTCATTTGTATTTACCGATCAATAACGATTAAACATTTATCTAATCAGATGTCTAGTAATTCATAGAAAAAGTTTATTGAAGTCAATAAAGACAAAACTACCAACTTATCATTGAATTTGTTTACCATGGACTAATTATTTTATCATACTTATCCTAAGATGATTCATGTATATAAACATTATAACTACTGAATAATTAAGTGTAATTTCGTGATCTCACATTTTAGGCACACATTTTGTATGAAGGCTAGTAATATCGACCAGTTGTTATACATAAAATAAGTTAAATAGAGTTTAAACCCAATGTGTGAAGATCAATTGTCTTAATTATTAAACCATCACCACACTTGAACCTATAAATAAGAAATATTCTAGTGGATATATCAGTTTATAAAATCATCCCTTCACTTTCCAATCTTAAAAGAATTTTCATGAAAATCTTTAATAAATATTCTTAGAAAGTACTACATTGTACTGGTAAACTACAACTTCATTCCAAAGTTGTTTTTGTTCTGATAGATAAAAAAATGGTATTACACATAGTTGACTTAAAAGATCAATCAGTGACTGTTCTGATACACCATTGATTAAAAAGTATCTGTCTTTCATTTTGATTGATTCTATCTACATTAGATAAGATTGATATGCCTTCAAATATAACTTATCCACTGTAAAACAAAAAAGTTCCAGTTCATAATACCACTTTCTATCTTTATGACAAACCTTAACAAGAAGCGTGTAAATAAACAAGAACTGTAAATAAACTAAATGTATTCATTTTAGTAGATAAATTGGGTTTGTTTTTTACTTATGTTGCTACATGTCATTAACCTCATTATTAGACATGAAAAGAAGTTTACTTGCTTTTGAAATTTGAATCTTATATAAATGTGAAATAAGTCACTTTTTAATAGGTTTTCTTTTGTTATCAAAGAGTAGATTGAATAATGTCTCTTTTTTAGTTACTAACACGTTTAAATAATTATTTTTTTCAGAATATAAAGGAAAAGTCAAATGCACCAGGAAAATATAGTCAATGTTGGATAACTATATTAGCTATTTAGTTAAATTTAGAACAACATATATAAGCGAACAATATTGTTTTCGACTAGATCTTCATCAGTAATATTTATATGTATATATGAAATTATTAAACCAATCAAGGTAGTTTATCAGTCAATGATAACGATGAAAACGATTACATCAAGATCGAGTTTATTTTATTAATATAATCGGCTTTGTTCATAAGAACTAGCCCTCCTAAGCATATGTAAAGCATCTCGGTGCTCTTCGGTAAGTGGAGTTTTCACTGTACATTTACTACTTTTTTTATTGTTGGTAGATGTCCACCAAGGTGGTCTTAAACCCAGTGAGTTCATCGAGAGAAGTAGGCACCAAATCTGTTGTTTGTGTAAATAGATTTTCAAACTGTACATCTGTATCGAGTTGGTTTATTTTATTTCTATAGTCACGAAATCTAGCACCGAGCGACAAAGCCCCTACTTGCACTGTGTCCAACGTAACACTAGAGAAATTATGAACGTACTGCTCAGTGTCCATAGAAAATTTTCGTTCAGCTTTATGAGGTTCCAGTGACTGAATTAGTTTTGTCCCTAGTTTTACCGATCTACTTTTTGTCACCATGTTATTATAATCCATAAATTGTATTTCTATTTCCGGTGGCAGGTTATCGACCATAGATTCTCTTTGTGAAATATTTCTTCCAGATTGTTTATGTGTATTTTTAATGAATCTGTTTGGTTAAGTGCATGCCGATTAAGGGTTCTAGCATTCGGATTTACATATGCTTAGAAAAAACAACACTCTAATCATAAGCAAACCAGACAAAGAAGTAGGACTAGTTCTTATGAACAAAGCCGATAACATTAATAAAATGAACTCGATTTTGATGTAATCGTTTTCATAGTTATCATTGACTGATAAACTACCTTGATTGGTTTAATAATTTCATATATACATATAAATATTACTGATGAAGATCTAGTCGAAAACAATATTGTTCGCTTATATATGTTGTTCTAAATTTACAATATGGGAATATTTCAAATTATTTTGTTAAAGTTCAAAATTTGTTCAATAATATACATAATCATTAATTTATCAAAAGGTGGAACCGAATACCTAAGGGATTTTTCTAGAAGTTACTACTTTATTGTTAAAACTATAAATCTTAATCCAAAAGTCTTATTATATTTATTTATTTTTATTAAATTTGTGATGTATAATGATTTAAAGGCTAATGATATTTGGAAGATAAACAAATGAAATAGAATAGATCATGATCAAAAACTGATAGTAACCAATGATTTTTTTCAGAATAATCGTCTATCGAGATTGTAGTAATTTTAATAGTTGAATCCATGATCCGATCTAAGCTAGACAACAACTGAAAACTTGGAAGCACTGGATAGCCGTTTCCTCTTAATATAAGACTCTTCTACAGTGATCTAGCTTAGAATAACTCGTGAATTCTGATAACAATCATGTGCTAATTGAGTCGGATTCGTATCGGCTGGAGACAGTTATCTAACTCACACAATGGATGAATGATTGCGCAACATCACGACTCAATTGAATTTTGACATTAACGCTGTTGGATTCTGACTCAGTGGTATGGAGGTTAGGTATTCGCACTTGAGATCGAAGGTACTGCGTTCGAGTCCCACATGTGGGATCGTGGATATGCACTTCTGTGGAGTCCCGTACTAGGACGAAACAACCGTCCAGTGCTTCCAGGTTCGCAACAGTTGTCTAGCTTAGGTCTACTCATGAATTCAACTGCTAAGATTTTTTACTAAGTACACGTTCATACCTGTTCCAGTATCCTGGTATGATAAGATAAATTTTCAAATTACTCCTCATAAAATGTACACTAAATCGTAATGCAAATTATAATATGAACTGCGTAATTACAATGTTTAATTTACAATTTATCAGAAAGGGGTTTTGTGAAGATTATAGTAATTTAATAGTTGAGTTCATGAATCAGATGAAGGTAGACCATCATGGAAAACCTGAATGCATTGGACGACCGTTTCGTCCTAGTATAGGACTCCTCAGCACTCGCGCGCAAGGCCGAAGGTGCTAGATTCGAGTCCCATGTGGGGTATCGTGGATACACACTGCTAAGGAGTCCCATATTAGGACGAAACAGCCGTTCAATGTTTCCAGGTTTTCCACGATGGTCTAGCTTTAAATAGTTATAAAGTTTCGTTACATTTTTATGATATTTGAAAAAAAGGTTATTTATAAGTATCAAGAAGTTATTTGTAATCTGTTTTCTAAGATGGTTTAGTTTATATTACTGAAACTGTAATGAAATTGAGTAGAACTAAATAATAAATAATCAGATTTTATCAAGTGATATATCAATGCAACTATGATTTCTAATAGCAATTGTATAGAAATATAGTTAAATATAGAAAAATAATAACTGTAAGGTATCGCAAGGTTATTTATTTATTTATTTTAACACATAGATATTGGTACACGGAGGCACCAAATACATATACGCCACACAGATCTCATTTGATATCCATGAGGGCTGTGATACTCCCCGGGTGTCCAAACCGAAGCAGGTTAAGAAATTCAATAATATGGACTAATGTATGTATATAATTATTGAATTTCAGTTCTCATATTCTGATGAATAAAATTATTCACCAACATTGTAGTATAAGTATAATCTTTGAATGCAATTAACCTATAACAAGTTAATACCTCGTTAAAATTGACCGATTCTAGTCTATTTCTTAAGGAATATAACATTTCTGTTAAGATCTAAACTAGATTAATTATTCGAAAATAGTTTGTTTTTTTACATACTATTCCTTACCACTCAATACAAATATGATTACGGACGTAATAAGTTATACATAATCAAAATAAGTTATAACATCAGAATTCAGTTATGAACATTTCTCATATGACTGTGTTAATGTTAACAAAGTCGCTTTCCATATCGAGATCTTTGTTTACTGCTTCAAGGTATAACAGAATCTTCAACTAGTTATTAATACTAGATACTGAAAGGTGATCTCTTCCATTATTTGCATCTAATAAGTGATCAATGTTTTAGTTTAAATTCATATTTGAAAATTATCAAAACAAACCATTTGGTTTATGTTTCTTTAGTAAATTTGCTATTCAATTAATTCAATGTTTTCGACAAATTTAGTTGTACAGAATAAATCTGTAATATGCATATTTAAAGAGTAGTTACACAAATAGCTTATGCATATAATCTGTTTATCTTACCATCCAAAGTTTAATTATTCATCTAAATGTGACGTTTTAAGGTCCAAGAAATAGGATAACATATTCATAAACTTTCTAAACTGTATCAAACTTAATAATCACCAGTACATGTCCGCAGGAGAAAATAATATTTGTAATAAGAGAACAAGTTAAAACACTATTCAACTTCATAGTTAAAAGTGATTACTGTAATAGAAGGATTTGTTGAACATCCTATAACTGGAATATCAAGGCACTACATCACTGGAAATTTGAATCATTGACAAATGCATATGGAATTAAACAAAGAGAATAAGCTACTGAGATAACCAACTTAAGTAAATTTTTGTCAAAGCAATAAAAAAGTAGAGTAGAAGCACAATAGTCGGGAGCCGAGTTTAGGAAGATACTAAGAATATAAGACTTAAAAACGTTATCGCTTGAAGTAAAAACAGGTCTGACGTCTCCGTAATGAAACTTAGACAAGGCCGCTAAGCGAAACACCGGAGTTATCTTAATTTCAAGCCCCAAGACTTTCACATAAATTAAGGCAAAACAGAAACTCCATATTTTTAATTATTAAACTTACTACTAGCTAGTAGTTACAAATATTAGTCGGAATATTTCGCCTACTCAGTTTTGGCTACTTTTGTACTCTGGTTCTCTATGCTTATTTGCTGACGAAAAAACCTAACATGATTGTATACTTCTTAAAAGGTGCAACCTCATAAAAAAGTTTAGTTTGTTCGGGATTTCGCTTAGGAAACAAGTTTTAGTAAATAAACAGTCAAACAGACACAGTTTTAGCTACATAGTTATAGGGAAGCTTTTGAACAAAATAAAATGAATGAAACCTAAAACATCCTGAATGATAACTATTTGGTTTTGGCTGAGATTTTTCACCATGCATGTGTTAATTAACGCTGGTGTTGCAAAGAAATGAAAGATCTAAAAGGTGAAGAGTTGTCTGTCAGATATGGTATTGAACATTTTGGATAAGAACTGAGAAAGGAATCGAGAAAAATCATCCTGTTATACTCTGACGAAACTAGAGATAAAATTGGAAATGATAGCATACCATCAGGACAGAAACACCATTTCTGTTTGATTACCGTCAATTTGTCCAAACTCGACTATAAAATGACTGACAGAAGTGTGAGATTCCGTAAAGTAAACATCAACCCGAATAGGTTGCTTTAGAGACGAAATAACAATGAATGATCCTCAAAAACTGCATAAACAACCTACTGCAATGTATTTTTTCACTTATGATTTACAATCCTACAGAAACGAAAATTTGAAAAGAAAATGACGCGTTTTGAAATCAATCAACATGGTAAGCGAACTAACACTTCGAAAATATACTTGCGATCGTCTTGTGATCTTTTAGAAAGATTTGATATTTCACCATCCTAAACAGGCCACTGATTTATCTTTCTTCAAAAAGGGTATAAGGCAAACGAAAATCAGCCGGCTACATATCCATAATACCTTACATCTATTAAGATCGATTTTCAACATACAATACAAATTGTCTTTGAAGGAAATAAACGAAGTGTTTTGTCGAGTATTGAAGTTACAGTAGCTGTTATTTATCCAAAGAACTCAATTTGAACAATCTGCTGACATAGTGAAAATACGTTTAACGACATCGTTCAGTTAGCTTATACTCCTTTTACATTAATCTAAAACCCTTAAATCAGTTAACATTGTTAGTCATGGAAGCATGTAATTTAGGAAAGCTGTGGTAATGGATTATCTATTAATCCATAAGCACCAGATGTGCAAAATCTCAAGGAGTATGTTGACAAGTTATTTGATATATTTAGATGGAACTCCCAATACAAGGCAACTATGATCTTTATACGTACTGCCTATTTTCAACTCAAGTGAAAAAGGAAGAACTCTAATGTGAACTCATGATTTATTCTTTTTTAGAACTTACTAAAATATTTCTTTAATCCCTGCATATGTTGATCACTTGGTTATAGCTTTTGACACTGATTTTTGAGTACTATATCCTGAATACATAAAAACAATCAATCTGTTATCAGGATTTCTATGTTCTAGAACAACCTGAATACAATTCATCAATTCAAATGCTTCAGTTGATTTCCTGAGCAGTCAAACAAAACAAATGTTGTTCCGAGGACAAGTGGTGAGAGGAAACTGTGGGTAATCTACTGTGAGTAGATAAATGATTCACCAATACAATTTCACGACATACATATCCCTGTCTCGGTTAAAAATATGTCGGGAACTGTAAATTTACAAACACTTGATTTTAGAAATCAAATTATGAAGTTACATATGGATTTAAAGTGAGTTTTGATCGTTAACTTTTAGTGCGATCCCATTTGCATTGATTTAATCCGTATAAAATTAATCCAGTGTTTCAAGTCATTTCATTGTTCTAGTCATTACTTAAGCTATTTTGCATTTAAGTGATGGCTCCCAAGACCTTAAGTTCCGCGATTAATAACCATTAAAATCAATCGATGTGCAATTGAACTACTGTGAATACACATCGCCCTTCTTCGTCCCAAGATTTGCTAGTCGGAGTAGGTGGGGCTGAAAGAGAACAGAACCATTGTATATGGTATCGGAGTTACCGTTAGAGAAATCGCTGCTATCCTGCAAACGTATCACATGTAACCTATATTTTCCCATAAATTTTGAGCAAATTATTCAGCTTTTAGCAGTGAAGATCACACGTAGTCTTGATTCTCTTTATCATCGCAGGTTAGTCAGGCGTCAAGTTCGAAATTAGTGATAGAATCGAGCTACAGGACACATCTTCAAAAGACCCTTATCACAACAGAAGAATAAACTAATATCAATATGCTAGACTCCAGCTAGTTTGGTATTCAAAAGACAAACTTCATCATAAATTCGGGAGAATTATTCTGCCGTTACTTCACTTGATCGTGTTAGGACATAAACGTTGCAAGTGTAATCAAGAAGCAAAGAATATACTTCAAAACAAATCAGATTTCCGTTCGGTAATACGTACGAAATTCAAAGGGTGAAAATCTATATTACCCAATTAGAACATAGAATCCTCGAACATGCATTCAATAGCCTCTGTTACGTACTCACACCACGTATCTAAACGTATATTTCAGTTTTAATAAAATACAATGCGACTGTACCCTCAAGTGTCAGAATAGTTACACAGAAAAATAACAAAATGAATAATGTACAATGTCTATTACTACATAATGATAATTGTGAAGAAGAATTCATTGATTATTATGAAATGCCAGTATGATTCTCTTCTGACATTTCAACACACATTTCACCTGAACCAATTCCAGTAAAACAATCCTCTGTGGCTAATCCCAACAATTTACGTTGATTCATTAAAGCATTCGCTAGTGCAGAACATTGTAGAAACTTATTATCTGGTGCGTTTTTTGACTGTGAAACATTTTTCAATACAATTGGGTCAGAACAATTTGAAATTCTATAATTTTCATGTACATTAGTAGGTGACAGCTGAAGAAAGATTGAATTTCTTTTTGAAACATTACATTTTAAATTTCGACGTCCAGTACGGGACTTTTTGAAATATTCGCATGATGAATTACACAAAGGAGTTGGGAAAAATTCTAGTAGTTTATCATCCATAGAAGCACAGTTGCTTTCATTTGTATCAAGTGAATTGGATAATACAAACTGAGTCTAAACATTAAAGAAAAAGCGATCAGATAATAAATAAGATCTAAGAAAATGACCTTTTTATTTACGTATTAAAATATAAGCGGGTAAAAATTCGAAAGTCAGTGAGAAACGCTTAAGCATTGATGTAGTCTACTAATTCATAGTAGTAATTAGAATATCATTGTCACTAATTCATGGACATTTTAGTGTGATAGAACATCATCAGTAGGACTTTTGAGAGTAAAGTGAAGTAACAAAAATCACTTCTGAAAAAAGTGAAAATCTATAAAACTTATTTTAAGAATATATATCAAGCTGAGTATGGAAAAGTAGATTTAATGTAGGCTGTTAAACAGCTGACTATAGACTGGAAGTCTTCTGTACGGATGACTAGCACCATAAATTACAGACGAGGTTTATATGACGTTTATGACATGTAGCTATTAAAATATTGAAAACTGAATGGACATTGGAGGCTCCAACAGGAAAACATTTCTTAGAAAGAACTAAGTTAATATCACCATTAACATCCAACTTATTTATCAAACTTAATTCTATATACTCGACTGCTTTTTACACAGTTTGTGTGAAGTTTAGGTAAAGTAACCTGCTTTTCAAAACAAAGTAGACGGAGCAACTTAGTAGTCGAAATTAAAGCGCATTAATCAATAACCTACTGTTCCACAAAGGACAAGGCATACCAATCACTGGATTGAGCTAAAAAATAAAGTGCACTCAAACAGACTATCACTGGCATATTATAAAATAAATTTTATGTTATAATTAGAGTTTGAAAATAGTCAATTAATAAACATTCTTCAGAGACAATGATGGTCGAACAGGGTAGCCGTACATCCTTATCTTGAATGAGGGCATGTTCTGCAGACAAAAAACTGCTCTCACCGACACGTTGTAAACTCGGCATTTTAAAGTCAGACTAACATGCCTATGGCTAAGAAAATACTTCATACTCCTATAAGCCACTTTGGCTTGTATAAGAGAAAGACTACTACTTACATGTGAGATGTTTTCAAAACACAAAAATTTGAACAAATTATACTACAACAGAATAGAGAAAAAAATTCAAAAAAAACATTTGTAAGTCTTACTTGAAGCTCCTTTTCAGAACTGAGGCTGACCCTGTCAGTGGATAGACTCAGCTTTTCGTTATCAGGACACTCTATCTGCAATCGTCGTTTTAAAGCACATTCTTCACGCTCCTGCATAATCACTCGACGGTGAGATATTACATTCTTAAGTTCTTTCAGTACAGCAACATGCATACCTGATGATGGGTTCTAAACAGGAGAGAAGGTAAAGTTTTTGTGAAATGAATTTCCCGAATGAAACATTAGTCTTGAGCCTAATATCATTCTGGACTTTAAAGTTTTCAGCTTGATTACTTCCTTTTAAAGACGTTTTGTTTGGTTTGGCGCTACCATTAGTATTACACTTCTCTACTCATTTGTTGACCGAGTTAAATTCCTGTCATTGTGTTGATTTGATATGTGAGAAAGCAGATCGACCTATATCTGCCACCGATCTCGCGTTGAGTATGCCCATCTACCTGTTTACAGAACCCATTCGTGTTATATCGTCACAATAATCTTGCGTGGCCACATATTTGCTGTTTTTGTATTGATAACCCCAACCAACCAGGTCATGTTTAAACTATTTGTTTCAAATTAGATGATATTACTGAATTTGGTGTTTAGATTAACGTGTTTCATGATGGTATAACTCAAAATATATTCTCAGTGAAGTTACGATCATGGCAGATATCAAGATTTAATAACGACACCATGATTTGTGATGCAGGTAATTTAATATTAGAGTAATTATAGATGTCTCAAAGTACTATTTAGGCCTTTCAAACACTTATTTAACAAATTTAAATCCCTGAGACCTAGTCGAAATAACTAGTTTTCACAAACATGATCTTAACTATGTAATAAACATTATGAATTTAATAAGAACAGGCTTATGTATCAAGGCTACTAATGCTACGCGTATGCCCAAGCCAATATGTAGTAGAAATCGAACTTGTAACCTATCACTTAAAAGATAAATGGTCTAACCGCCAAGCCGCCAGTTCAACTTAATTACTTCCAAAACCATACGACAATGGTTATAACACATACCTTTAGCGAATTCACGCAATCAACATTTTCGTACTCCGCTTCAGATTCACGACTAGAGGAGTCTCCAACAGCTATATCTTCTAATACCTAGGTATTCACAAAGCACCATGTGATAAAAAGAAAATCTATTAGAAAATATTTCACAATACAGAACATAAACTCATGAGAAAATTGCTGGGAGAAAATCAATGAGAAGCAGAAACAATGGATTATTTTACTCAACCAGTAGTTTCACAAAAAATGACTGGCGAGAATTTGGTAAATTTCAAAGTAAATACTATTACAAACCGATGATTAATTGACAACCATATAAAACCAAAAAGCAGTAAAAAGAATTTGCGTTCTAGTTAGTAATAGGAACTCAAGACCCTTAACAAAATTAGATCAAGGATATCATGGCCTGTAGTAATCTTCGAATTTACTAAATTTCAACTATTGATCTAATCGATTAGTAATTTATCTCTCGTTGGCCGTGTAACAGACAGTCAAGACCCAAGTCAAGGCATGCTGACAATACTACTTGGTCATTATGCCATAGTGTCAAACTAACTCAGGTTCAAATATTTGAATTTTCGACTTGGTGATAGTATTGTATAGAGCTTGCCATGATAAGAGTTGGCTAATTTCAACCCGAAGGCGGTAGATGTATAGCATTGTAAAGTCTCAAACTTGATTAAGGCAACTACTGAGTGCTACTTAATCCTCAACTGATTTTCAGAGGACTTTAAGTAAATGTTGGTTAAGTAATGCATTATTTTGGTATCCGACGTTAACTGGCAGTTAAACTGTATCTCAAAATTATGTAGGCGTTTTAATGTTTTAAAACTACTTACTAACCAATCATCAAAATTTTAATTCCAGTTTCCTCTTAACATTTTAACATAAAGAGAAAATCAAATAGTCTTGTCGTTTGCCACGAAACGATAAAATAATATTCTAGGCATAAGATTATTGGAGCATAATACTATATCATGTCAAATATATATACACGATTCACGACCAATGATTGAGAGCTAGAGAGTAGTTGCCTTAGTACAAATGCAAGCTGTCTACATATGGTGAAACCCAAAATAGAAAGGAATCCAAAATGTTCAGTAGTGTCCCATAGATTCACCGCAGCTGGGTGTCTGCTCATCTCTATTTGCTGGCCAATCACATATTAGTTTTAATGGCCATACATTATATTTTAAGTTGTGTGTTCATATTCCTTGTAATTAAATTTCTCTGTAATGTGGAAATCGCAAGTCAAAATTCAATCAAAACCCTGTGTTTTTCTAGTCAGTGATGACAATGCTCGAACAATCTTTTAATTTTCAACATATCATGAAGAAAACAGAACCACAGGCCGAAAATTTCACCAGGGAACATCAAGTACCTGATCAGAGTAAACACTTCTTAACCGTAGTGAAAGAATACACCAACCTATTGCAAATTAGTAACGGAAAAGTATTTGACTACTATATATACACTTAAGTAAATAAGAGTGATTTTCAAATAGCTGGTGAAAAGTTGGATTCTTTACTGTCCCTTAGAAAATGATGTGAATATAGTTTTGAACAAATGTTCTTTTCCATAAGCATACTACTGTTATTTGACGTGGTTACAAATTCCAAGTTACATTTTTATCAAGCCAAATACCTACACTGAGCATTGCTTAGACATAAAATTTTAGTGACTTTTGATCTGTGAAAATCACAAAGTTAAGAATGAATGAAGATTTTCATTTAAAATATATTTCTACTTCAGCACCAGCCAGACAGATAAAGCAGTAATTTTATGTCGGACAAACTTTTTTAAATTAATTTGTTCTCCAATCTATGATTTACGAAGCTATGAGCAAAACACAATAGCTAATGTCAATCAATTAGATAACAGAAAGTATACATGATGAAGTTTTTATACTGAGACCACATAACTAGATCATTCTCATAGTTAGCTAATTAATACAACTATTACACATTATAATTCAAACTAAGAACTTATGATTAAGTACATTTGTGCAAGTACTCAAAAACATTTTGTTACATACATCATCCTCTACAATTGGATCCACAGCTTTCAGAACATCTTTACTAGATGAAATCCCATCTCGGCAATATAGGAAGTCAACAGTAGTTTCTATATTTTCTTTTGAAATATCAACATTGTCTGCAGTTTGAACATTATCCAATTCATTCAAAAAAATCAGGGATGCATTCAATTGACAACGTATGAGACTAACTAAATTGGAAAAGGTTTCATTCGAAACAAATGACGTATTACAATTTTGTTCAACATAGGACTTCAAATTGTTGGCACTATGGAAATAAAGAATAAATTAGATATTCGTAGCTTGTTTTTTTCCTTAAAATATTCAATATATCAGAAGACAATTTTACAAGAAGTTGCAGTACACGCAGACAGAAACAAAACAAAACTAAGTATCTTTACTACATCACTATAAATCTTGAATATATAATGTTGCATTCACAGTCTGAATGTAAATTAATTTTTATTATTATCTGTTTTTTTATGAGTAAAAGATATTAATGCTGAATTTTTTACTATAAGGTGATGTCAACTATAAAGTAAATGATTCTGGTTCGAGTTCAAAAAGCATTAAGTTTATATTCAAAACCCTTGAAATACGTTACAGGTGAATATACTAACAAGTAAGAAACATATGTCACGCCGATTACTACCGATTACTTTAAGATGAATGATAAAAATCCAACTTACCTATTTACTTTGTCATATTTATTTAGATCGAAGTCAATAATTAGCGCAAACGCTAGGACACATTTGTTCTATACCAGTATAAATTAAGTTACTGAAAGCTGCGAATCGCTGTCGGATATTAGCGTTCCATATCCGACAAGTCCATAGAGTAGTTCGCATCCAACAAACTAATCTTATAGCACATTCTATCAAGCATCAGCTTGGTTATCAAAAGGCTGATGGTTTGAATCAACCTATAATTCAAATTTCCGTCCAACTTCAACTACCACATGCACAAAATTTCAAAAACCTAACAAAAGCTACTTCATGTATTTTTCTATTTCTGCGGCTCAAAGCAATCTGTATGTCTAAATACCTAGTTATCTATGCCTAAAACTTATGAATAACGCAAGTATGATCACTAATCAAAAGTTTCGACGTGAACTTCTATAAATGTGACATTGTGGACAGCAGACGTTTGAAGTTGAGACATAAGACATAAAATGTATACCAACTAGTTCACATTCTTTCTTCACTTCTTAGTTGCTACGTCCTGGATATAAAAAATGTAATAATAACTCGAATAATGACAACAAACGGTAAATATAAGCACTGTACTCTTGGAATACATATTCTAAGTGCAAACGGACAACAAAACAAGCGGTGTTCATTTAAAACTTATCTCGTATGAAAAACGGGCTTGATTACTTCCCTTTCCTCTTTAGAATAATCAAAGCAGTGATAATAAGCGATTGATTAAGCGAACCAAAAATGTAGTGATATTCCAATTGAAAAATCGGTACATAGTTTTCTTATTAGCCTCAATAAGTATGAAACACAGGTTTGTAGTGTCCTGTTAGTTAACTTGAAACATTCAACAGCAATGCCTTGCCGAATAGTTTAAAGAAAAATGGAGACCGAAAATGGGGAAAAATCACCCCTCACGTATAAATAAAAACTGAATAGAGTATTATGATGTAATTTATCAACCAAGTATACGTTTTTGCATTTGGTTATAGGACGTACCTTGCTTTTTATGAGGGATAGTGATACAAAACGGGTTGTCGAAATCGAAGCAGAGTAAGCTGGATTCAAACATGTAGTTCATCGGTTGACAGTCGAGTGTCTTAATCACTAAATCGTTGCCTCACTGCAATAACATACTCAGATAAAAAACACTATTCATGAAATCAAAGGTCAGTCAGTCATAGGTAGCGTAAATCTAAACATGATATCGAAATGAGTAACAGAAGAGGAAAATAACACACGACTAGTCAAAACGAAAAGTATACAATATGGAGGAATAACTGAAACAAACATTATCATACAAAACACGTAGAATGCACAACTTACTGTTCCAATGAAACAAGAAGATGCAGCAATAATTCGTGAGTTATTCGAGCCTCTGTTCGTTTATAGAGATTTTTGACTTCATTTTCTCCAGATACACATTCTTTTGCAGTTCGAGCATCATTATGTATGAGCTTGCCATTTAAAATCATTGAATGCAATTCATTCAGTTTATTGAATTCATTCTTTATTCTAGTCAAAAAGTAGTCCCATTTCCATACCGACATAATCAATCGTACTAAAAAACGAAAAGAAACAGAATCAATATTATTAAGTCTTATATTGTGGTGTAACTCATATACCAAGCATAGATTTGTGTACTCAACTTTAAGTCATACAGTTTATGTAAACGCTATAACAGTATTACCCGGCTCCTCAAACGGAATTAAATAAGTAGTCATTCGTATCTTTAACCTACTGGTGGAAAGTGAAATGGACTAACCACCACTTCCTACTTAAACGATACACTGAACAGTTAATTTGTTAAAAGACATATTAATCAATTACAGGTTTGTATACCGAGCTCTGATATACTATCTATCTTTACATGGAAGAATGGATGCATTGGCATTTGGACGAATAATTTAACATTGTTTTACCAGCACTTACTCCATCTCCCTAGCATTTTAACAAAACTTAGAAAAGTCTACTATATACCTTGTAATAAATTTGTCATGTTCAAAATTAGTGTGAACGTATTTGAAGACGTCATATTAAACACATAATATAGCCTACTGATGAATAATGCTTCATCTCTCAATAAGTCAAATAGCACAGGAATTTCTCATATTGCGGAACCTCTTATTTTTTTATTTTTATAGCTAACATTAGAATAATTCCTAAGATTTTAGCGCATTAGAAGATTAACAAGTGGTAAACATTAATTTCTATTCGGGATGACTGGATTCAATTACTTAATACCTTAAAAATTTCATGATGCACGCTGACCGATATTTTTTATGCGCATATTGAAACGAAACCTTAAATTTTAATCACCCAGCAAAATGTAAGAATATAAATTTATTTCGATAGTAATTTGTGATTGATCAGCGTTTTACACAAACTACCAATAAATACATACAAATGATGAACATACATAGGTGGAAAGTACCCCGTCTTGATTGGCAAAACGAGAATGACAATTTGACTAAGAGATCAGATGTTAACAGTTTTAACAGTTCACAAAACATCTGAAAGCAAGAACAAGATAAAAAATAACCGAAGAGAAAAACAAACTCGTAGATTCTCGATGCTTGGGTCTTTAGGCTTTTCTTCTATGTCACATTTTAATTGAATCAGTTCTGAAGTTGACATCTCCAATGGTATCTCAGAATTATTTTCATCAAGTAAGTCTATGAAAACAAAATCATATAGTACAACAATAACAATAACATATTCTGACCTACTTCCCAATTTAACAGAAAAATCAATCAATCCTATAAGGTAAGCGCGCATAAAGTTGTACGCCTGATGGTATATTAGTGGGAAAATTTTAAATGTATTTTTATCTACAATTCTGTATTAGGTTGTCAGTAATTTAAAAATGCATACTTGGGACCGAAATAACGGCGGGTATTGAGATCTTGTAAGAAAAGAATGATAAGATGGGATCTGTGAGAGAATTTTTTCATTTGCTTCAATGAGTCTGCAAGATGATATTTAGATACCATTAACAATAGTACATTGGACATCCGTAAACATAAAATAACGAGTAAGAATATAAAAATCATTTGAGCAGAGTAACTCAATCCGAATCCACAAAGAATTGAAAACATCGCAAAACAACATCTAGAACCTTTTAATCAGAATATTTCAATTTCACTTGCTACCTTGAGTCGACTTGGTCGTTATTTCCCACCGAGTATATGTATTCAACCACTGGTTTATTCTCAACAGTAATTAGATCACTGTACTTTATTAGGCTAATTATCTGAAATAAAAGATATCTTGTAAGCTGACAAATATAAGCTAATAACAATAATTTACTGGTAAATCGAGACCGAAATATAATGTAAAATCAAAAGGATTTATGCATTTGAAGTACGATAAGATATGCGCAAACTTTTTCATCAGAAAGGTAGTAGTGGTGGTGATAGTAGGCCTTTTGGAGATTTCACAAGTAGCAACATCCGGAACTCCGATTTCTCGAAAGTATTGTTGTAATGGATGGTTCTAAGAGAAAATAACTTCAAATTTAATTTACTTCTGGTAAGTACGTATCTTCTTCTTCCATGTCTGATTTATATCATGTACACCTTTATAAAAGTGGAAAATCACAAAAATGACCGTAATTTGATGTAGTTGGTTCAACCAAAGTAATCGAGTGCAATGATCTGTAAAAACGACAATAGTTCATACGAGTAATATTTAACAGGATAACAAGGATTAATTTGACAAACAGAAACTAAAATAGACCCAAATACTTTTAAAAACTTGAGGTGGTATGATTACAAACAATGTCAGCCGCAAGTAGAAAAAAGCAGTTATGACAAAAAAGAACTGAAGTACCAAAAATATGAGATGGCCAGTGAACGTCTAAATGATGCTGCATTCATTATACATGGCAAAAAACATAACTATTAGAACTCCAACAATGAAGTTGCTAATCACAGGTATTTGCTATCTCACAAATCACAGTTTAGAAATACTTCATTCTAGGAAATTAACAGGCTTCCAGGGACTCAAAATAATTATGCTACATTGTATTTATCATTCACGCATTTACTAACTACATTTTGAATGAAGTCGAAATACTTAACTTTCCATTTTACTATGAAAAGCTTGACGTACAAGCGCAACTATACTAATGAGTAACTTTGACGCATAAGGAGAAAATTTGTATCAAAAAGAAAGCTACGGTCGAGATATCTTCGGAGCCATGTACTGATAGACTAATAGGGGTAACTATTTCAGACATATTGGTTTCAATTACTTGTTATTGGTCGTCACCAGAAGGACCTTTATGTCAATCGAGTAGTGAACATAGATAAAATAATCAGTCATGTTTCCAAATACTTCATGTAACTGGTTTCATATGGTTTTACTTCTCTCATTACGCAATCAGACTAATCATGATGCTGTAAAAGAGACTAGTTGAGCGAAGACTTCAAAAGAGTATAAAAAGTTGAAAGATCCTATGTTTACAATGATTTAAAATCACTAGTTTATAACAGGGACTTCAAAATGACCATAAGTAAAAGCTTCTGCCCGATACAATAAAACGGATGAAGAAGTAAAACCTTAGCCATTCAACTAACAAGCCGAAAGTAAGAATTCCCCAAATGATTATTACATAACTCATACGTCTGTTTGATAACTACCTGTAGGATCAGTAGTATGTCATCCTTACTATGTAAGGATGGCAAATCAATTGGTGAAGTAGTGAAACTTCATCAGTTGACATGGCTGGGACACGTGTTACGTATGCCCAACGACCGACTACCTCGACGTGCTATGTTCAGTGGTATAGGAGTAGGTTGGAAGAAAGCTAGGGGCGGCCAAACCAAAACATGGCACAAGTCCATGAAGTCACTGACAAGTGGACTGAGTCATGTTGGTAGGTGTAGACTACCTGGTTGGTGATCGCGAGATGATAGCAACCGATGGTTAGAGACCCTGAATGACATGGCTCAAAATCGTTTGCAATGACGCAGGTGCATACACTCTTTGTGTTCTCCCAAATTTTGGTCTCCTTATTCCTCCTTGTCTCTTTTTTTTCTCTTCCCAAATTTTTTTCACTGTATTATACTCTTTAAGTAACATCTCCAAACACTAATCTTCCCGATTACTGCTTATACTCTTATTACCTCTACCACTACGGGATTTGAATCGACCACTGCATCTCTGTGCTAATGTGGTGTGGCAACTCGAACTGATGTACGTACGTACGAAGTTCTACGTTGTTACTGACTGACTGACAGACAATGAAATTATAAAATGAAAACTCAACAGCCAATTATCATCACATGCTTCAGACATAGTCAGAGCAAAGTGTAAAATCTATTGATACATATTGAAGTAAATTATTTGTCTAGCTCCTGTTGTAGGACTAAGCGAACTAATCCTGTATCGAGTCCGGGAACTGTATGTAGTTGCAGTTTCACTAGACACTACGGATTCACGAAATGAAATCAAGTGCAAATCACTCACAATTTCAAGAGTCCAATACGACCTATGCTGTAGCTTTAAGCAGCTGCCAAGAAATTTTTGGTGAAATGAAGTATCAAAACGTGTAGTGTCAATGTACTTTCGTAATCTCGTGTCCTACTCGAGGTGCCAGACTGTGTAATAAGGAAGAAATTTATGTTTTTTGAATTTTTTTTCATTTTGTGTGAACACTCAGGCTATCCAAAATATGAGTACGATACACCACTGACAGATGTGAACCAGTATCTCCCAAAACCGTATACAACTACCTGCCTAATGGATACTTGGATTCAGCGTGACCTACCTTTTATTGCATTCTCTAACATATATAGCTTGGATCGCTGGTTGGCAAATGGCACAACACCGAAAATTAGATATAAGTTGTAAAACATGCCGTTATTTTCCATTATGGACTGTTTAAGAAACTATTTTAATGGCAAATGTCACTAGGGTAAAGGTATTTTCAGTAAATATCATCGATTCTCGCCTTCCTAGAAATGAGTATAGTATTTCCTATTTGATGTGGCTCAGAATAATTTAAACTGATTACATTTAAAGACGTATTTATGATGATGATACGAGTCCGTAACAGTTTTTGGAAACCTAATATTTTGTTAATACTGACAAACGACCAAAACTGTGGTATTGCTACATAGTGCCCCCAAATGTCCTGGTACGGCAGAGAGTGGGCAGGGTCAGCTCTCCCTCTCCAAATGCTTTCACACAGCCATGTGCATACAATCATTGCCAGGGATGTCCTACTCACTGCCTTGTGGCGGGGGTGTTGTTTACGAAACTGGGGGGAGGAAAAGCGAATGTCCGACGCTTTAACCGGGTTGATGGATATAGAGGATCCACGTAGAGGAGTTGGAAAACCCTCATTCCAAACCAATGGTGTACATGGGCTCCAAGATCCTAAGGAAACAAACGGCGGATGAATCAACTATTGGTTAACGGCTACAATGAGACGTTGCACCACTGCCTTGTAGATTAGACCTTTATTCAAAGGCTCGGGGTGTGGCCCCCAAAGAAAACCACCTGTTTCGGTTTGAGCACCCGGTAGTATCTCTGCCCTCATATAAATCGAATGATTTAAATGGCGCATATCTGTTTGGTGTCTCCTTGTACCAATGTTTATGTGTTTAAATAAATAAATATACTGTCAACTTCATGGATACACACTACTCAATGTGAAGATTGTCCGGTGCTGAAAGAAACGATATTCAACCCTTTGACGTTCTTGAAAGCATTAGTTTGTCACATGAAGGACGGGGGAAAGTTTTGCTTTACAGTAGCATTAGGAATATGAGGACGAAAAGAAAAGTACGTGTTGCCCATATGTAAATATAAACAAAACAGAGATCAGTAATCTGAATGAATGCGTCATGAAAGCGAAATCAAAAAGCTGGTAATCCTTCGGGACAACGAAGATAACAAGTCGAGTATTTTTGTTAACAAAACGATATGAGTTTTATGGAAAGCCTTCAGGAGTCGCTGGTATCAATTCAGCGCATAAAGCGAACAAATTAGACATGTCAGATCCAAAATACTTGACAAAACTTTAAATGGTTTTTGTATCAGTTTGTTGTAACTGGTAGCTTTGAAAGAACACGATGTCAGCATTGATGCAAACTGAAAAACAAGTCAACATTAAAGAAATTGCGCAGTCGTTGAAGACGGTGATACTTCAAAGACAATCACTTTCACTGTTTCCTGCACACCGGGACAACTTCGTACTATAAATGAAGGTCAGACTGTCCTGCCCTCCATGGCCGGTGACGACTGATCCACCAAACGAGGAGGAAGTCCGCAAGGAACTCCAACTCTTGAAGCGTTACAAATCACCTGGCCCAGATGACTTACCTCCGGCTCTTTTTAAAGATGGTGGTGACTTTTTGACTAAGGAAATGACGACGTTGTTTACAAAGGTTTGGGAACTAGAGAGTGTGCCAACGTCATGGAATGAGTCGATAGTTGTCCCTATCTTTAAAAAGGGTTCACGTCGTTCCTGTACCAACTATCGGGGGATAAGTCTACTTCCGATTGCGTCCAAGCTATTGGCTTCCGTCATACTTCGTAGGTTGTTCAAAACCCGAGAAAGATTGACTCGCGAGGAGCAGGCTGGGTTTCGTTCTGGTCGAGGATGTATTGATCATATCTTCACCCTCCGCCAAATGTTAGAACACCGCCATACTTATCAAAGGCCAACAATCGTAGTGTTTCTTGACATCAGGGCTGCCTTCGATTCGTTGGATAGGACTGTTCTCTGGGATTGTCTATTGAAGAAGGGTGTGCCTGAGAAGTTTATTAACATCCTAAAAGCCCTGTATAAAAACACCTCAGGCAGAGTGAGGGCATACAACCACCTCTCTCCATTGTTCCATTCGAGCAGTGGGGTTAGGCAGGGTTGCCCAATCTCACCATTCCTCTTCAACTTTGCCATCGATGACATTCTAGAAACAGCTCTGATGAATATAAGTAATGGTGGTGTGGATCTGTTGCCTGGAGAAAGACTTCTCGACCTTAAGTATGCGGACGATAATGTCTTACTGTGCGATAATGCCCAAGGCATGCAATCCGCACTTAATCAGTTGGCAATCAGTGTCCGTAGGTATGGTATGTGCTTTGCACCTTCGAAGTGCAAAGTACTCCTACAAGACTGGCAGGATTCCAATCCTGTACTCACCCTGGATGGTGAGCAGATAGACGTAGTCGAGAAGTTCGTGTATCTTGGTAGCTGCATAAGTGCTGGTGGGGGTGTGAGTGATGAGATCAATGCACGTATAGTGAAAGCCAGAGCGGCTTATGCCAATCTGGGCCATCTATGGCGCCTTCGTGATGTTAGTCTGGCCGTAAAAGGTCGGATCTACAACGCGTCGGTGAGAGCAGTTTTGCTCTATGCTTGTGAAACCTGGCCTCTCCGAGTTGAGGACGTTAGACGACTCTCTGTGTTTGATCATCGCTGTCTCCGAAGGATTGCTGACATTCAGTGGCAACACCATGTCAGTAATGCAGAGGTTCGGCATCGTGTGTTCGGGCACAGAGATGATAACTCAATTGGTGTCACCATCTTGAAACACCGACTTCGGTGGCTTGGACATGTTCTCCGAATGTCGTCCCAGAGAATTCCACGTCGTGCATTATTTGCCGACTCTGGGACTGGTTGGAAGAAGCGGAGAGGTGGTCAGTGCATGACATGGTGTCGTGGCATGAAAGAAAGCTGCAAAGGACTGGCTTGTGTTGGCCCTTCACGACTCCCTGGTTGGGGTCTGAGAGATGGTGCTACACAGTGGCTAGAGACGTTATCAGATATGGCTCAGAATAGAAGCCAGTGGCGATCCTGCTGTAACCTTCTTTTACTTTCTTCATAAAAAGTGGTTCTGTCTCCCTTACCTGAAAGATTTCTTCCGATTGTACCTTTGGGTTCCCTGATTACTAGGACATTACCTTACACCAATCTCTTCATTATTGTTCTCTCTTTTTTTTGTTGCGCTCCTTAGCTTTTTTTTTCTTTGTGTTCCTCTCGAATTTTTATTGTTTTGTGTGGCGCATATATACTGGCGCTCTCGTGTACCAATATTCATGTGTCCAAATAAATAATAAATAAATAATAAATGAAGAGTTTGGAACCGTTAGTGGTTTAGTGTTGATTAGATGTTCAGAGTTTAACCCTATGTTTGCACAATGAGCCCGACTGATCGGTCAGCCGGTATCTGTAACCACAAATACCGGTCGAAAAGATCCTAGTGGACTGTCCTCCCAAAACCGAATCACAATTTCAATGGGAAAGAGACAACTGAAGCCATACCTCAAAAAGTTACCAAGCCAGATATAATTGTAGTCACAGAAACTTGGCTGACGCAACCTATAGATAGTGTGGAACTTGAATTTGAGGGTTTTACGTTAGTAAAAGCCGACAGAATCCAGAAGCGTAAAGAACGGGGAGTAGCTCTCTTCATTAGGAATGCTATCCCATTCACCATTATCGACAGTGTATCCCATGAGAAAGGGACATGTGAATCAATTAGCTGCCGCTTGAAGTGCAAAGGACAAGAGGTGCTGATTGGTTTGGTCTACCGCTAAACAGTCTCAACACTTGGTCACAAAGTAGTCGATATCTAATCCTAGGAGACTTTAATAAACCCATGGTAGACTGTAAAAATCTGCGAACTGAATTGTCAGATGATTCCTTCGAGCAGGAACTAATTGGTGCGGTTACCATATGTTCCCTAGTGCAGCATATGAAAGAAGTGACTAGGTGCGACCCGGACTCGGAATCATCCTTACTAGATCTTATATCGACCCATTATGAGGATGACGTTACGAACCTCGGTTACATGCCACTCCGAGGTAAAAGTGATCATTCAGTTCTAACCTTTGACTTCCATATAATTGTCCAAAACAAGCACGCATCAGCTCAATCCAGACCTAACATGTGGATGTTATACACCCTGCATCGTCAATAGATTGGACAATAGAGCCAGAGTCCCCAATTGGAACGGCTTGGGACGTATTTCGAAATTTATACTTAAAAGTTACTGCACCCCACATCCCTTGGACTACACCAAGGGGGTCGAGGAACTCTCCACCATGGTTCAGTAGGGAGGTTCCCATTCTTCTCCGTGAGAAGAAAAATGTGGAATAGATTTAGGTTACTGGAGACTGATGAGACAAAATCTCAGTATCGAAAAATTCGGAATAACTGTGTCTCGACCATCCGTAAGTCTTGAAGGTTGTACGAAGAAAAAATCGTCAAGGAATCCATAGAATGCTCTAAACCAAAGAACAAAAAGAAGAGAAAATATCCCAGCACTATGGGGACACAGTACTGCTTCATCATTAGTGGAGGACGACTTTCATAAAGCTAAAGTATTCTCGAACTACCTTAGTAATGCATACACCATAGAAACGCCCTTCCCATCAGCTCATACAAATCCCCCCACACACACTGGACAATGTGACCATTAAAGAACTCGATGTCTTTGGTCTGCTAAATAAGCTTGACATATGGAAATCCATGAGACCCGATGAGCTGCATCCTACGTTACTAAAGAAACTAGCTAGCTTCGTTGCGAACCCTTTAAATATATGCTTTAACCTATACGTAACCCAGGGTCATTTTCCAAAAGACTGGAAGAACGCCATAGTAAGTCCTGTCTTCAAAACAGGTACTAAACATAAACCTGAGAACTACCAACCCGCTAGCCTAACTAGTGTGGTTGTTAAAATTTTAGAAAGGATTATTCGGAAGGAGTTGTTTAAGTATTTCGATGAGAACCGGATCCTTTCGGAAAAGCAACATGGTTTTAAAATAGGTTATTCCTGTCTCACTAACTTATTAGTGGCTCGTGAAAGCTGGTGCGCTCTCAAGGACCAAAAGTTACCTGTAGACGTAGCCTACATTGATTTCAGCAAAGCTTTTGACAATGTTCCGCACAACCGGCTGTTATATAAGCTAAGAAATGTCGGAATTGGAAGCAGTCTGTTGATGTGGATAAAAAACTTCCTAGTTGGGCTCCAACAAAGAGTACGGGTGAGCTCCAAGTTGTCTAACTGAGAAACCGTGCTTAGTGGAGTGCCTCAGGGTACAGTTGGGGGACCAGTGTTATTTCTCTTGTATGTAAATGACCCTCCTCGTCTACTGTCATCACCGGTCATGCTCTATGCTGAGCGATACGAAGTAAGGGTGATAGCTTAGAACTCCAAAATGGCCTGAAGAAATTATCTGAACAGTCACGAACCTGGCAGTTGCCGATAAATACTTCCAATTGTGTTGTGACGCATACCGGTCATCAGGGTACAGATACATACACGATGAATAACACTGAGCTACCTGCTGTCCAGACACATAATGACTTAGGAGTCATCGTTATCCAAGACTTAAAGACTACTGCACACTGCCGTGCAATAGCCGCCAAAGGTTTTAGAACTTTATAGTCAACACATAGGGCCTTTAATCATATCGACGCTAAAACTTTTTTGACTTCGTATACAGTGTTCGTGCGTCCTAAACTTGAGTACTGCATACAAGCGGTTAGCCCCTGCTTTAAAGAGAAAATGAGTTTTTGGAAAAGGTTCACAGAACAGCAACTAAGCTGATTCCCGGAATAGCGAAGCTCCTGTATGATGCTCGAGTGGCCAAGCTAAACCTATTCCCGTTGTCATATCGAAGAACTAGGGGTGACTTGATCACAGTTTTCAAATTGCTTGGTGATAAATTTGCACCTGATATGCCCTCATTTTTCTTGTCTTCCAAAACAGAGAATTTACGGCGACACTCCAAAAAAGTTCACAAGCCCAGAACAAATTACTTATCAGCTGACTATCGACTTTCCTATCGAATCATCTACGAGCGGAATTCATTACCTCGTCATGTGGTTGAGGCTTCATTCGTCGACTCCTTCAAAAGAAAGTTCGATCAACTGAGAGACCATCATTGCCAGGACTGGCATAAGCCATCAAGTCTCCTATCCTTTCCAATCTGAGACTGAAACATTAAATGACGATATGCAAGATCGAATGTGGCCACATTTGATCTTTTCATTAAGTGCATGCAAGGCAACTGAACGTCTTCCGAATAGTCTCGTCGCGATGGAAACTGTTTACAGATTCCCTAATTATATTTAAGTTTTTGAAAGTCTGAAGCCTATATTATGACACCTGACACTATTTGAAGCAGGGAAGGTTGCTTTGGTTTAAGTGCCATCGTGACTCTGAATATAGTGTTTTTCTACTATCGACATACTCTTTACGCTGATTATCATCAATTCACTGGCACATAATGATCGGATTGTGCAGATAATATTCCACATACGTCGCAATTGCGACGTTAGTACACCCCAATAAATTGTCTTGATAAATGATCGATCTCTGGGAAACATGTGTAATACTGAACGCCAAAAACCTATTATGTACTAACTAAATGAAGTTTACCTAAGCACTACGAAAGCCTGGCCCCATAACGTCGTTCATCTATGAATTAATAAAGGGGTGGGCCACAAATATAAATGCAAATACGTTAAACCAAGGATTGAGTAGGAAATTTATATTCTTTCCTAGAAGCTCCTCCCAGAACATTATTGATTGGAATGTATATAATGTACCCTTTCACTCAATTTCAAAACCAAGTCAACCATCTGGAACCTTAGCGTTACGCAAGGTCCAGATATACCGCTTATTAAATAGTAAACTCTTGAGCATCTCAAAAGTCATAGCACAATTATCAAAGTTCAATTGCTTGTTGACGCAAAAGAAGAAGCTTTTGTTTAACAGTATTCCCTACCTGGTATCGCTAAATCACTGATCCCTCCAGGTATGGCATTTCAGGAAGATCTGACTCGACTTCAAAGTTGGGCAGACGATAACGAACTTACCTTCAACACATCAAAGTGTAAAGTAGTCCATCTGCGACATGTCCCAGACTATAGTTACAAATTAGGAAACTCCTCTCTGATAGTATCCCATATCGAAAAAGATTTAGGAGTCCTGGTGCCCTACGATTTAAAGTTTTACGCTTACTGTGACAAGAACGCCTTTTGAGCAAACCTTGCACTGGTAACATTGAGGCGCATTTTTGGCCAATTTGACGGAAGAAATTCCTACATAATCTTCAACGGTTCTATTCGTCCCCATTTACTGTACCGAAACATAGTATTTCCTCCCTCACTCCAAAAGGATAAGGACACCTAGGTTCCTGCCTGGAGGTATTGGTGATCCACTGATACTACACACGGAAGCCTATTAAGCGAAAGCTTCTTCTGTTCCGTCCACAACCATTCGAACCATTGAGATACATTTGATTATGAAAATGAAAATCTTTGTAAGTCATGTCGAAATACTATCTTGAGCCCCTCAGAATACACCAAGATTTCCCTTAGAGGTCTCCTGAGTAGTTGCCTGAACCGCATCAGGGAAATTAATTCCAAAGTTTGACTACTCGTAAGGAGTGAGACTTCAGTTCTTTCTATTATGTTGTGTCTCTAATTTCTACGTAATAACCCTGTGTTTTGTATCGGAAATGAGCATAATTAAGTGTTTAGTAGAGCATCCAGGAGTGCTTAGAATGCAATAAGTCACTAGAAGGCCACCTTAATGAGGCTTATACCCCAATGGTTAAAGTTTCAGTAATCTGAGACCTTCTTCATATGGTTTAAATTTTAGTCTCCGAACAGATTTCGTAACTCACTTTTGGATACGTTCTAGTATATTCTCATCATTTTAGGGTGGGAGAAAAAACACCACATTTTTGTGCTCTAAATGGGCTCGAACAAAACTGTTAAAGATTTAATTGAAAGTCCTACCATCGAACCGGCCAAAAATGCGCTTCAGGGTTTGCTCCGAAGGTATTTCTGTCGCGGTTGGCACAAGACTTTAGATCACAGGGTACCAAAACTCCTACATCTTTTTCAACCTATAGTACTTCTAGAGGATAATTGCCTACGTTGTATGTGTAGTCTTCAATAT